ATAAAGTAGTAGGAATACGAGACACGATTTTGTGTCCGCCATTGGAACCATTCATTCATTCATCAAATCGATCGTGAAGTTTTTAATAGTTTGCAGTCTCGAGCGGAAATACTAGACACTGCAGTCGTGTCGTTTGTAACTTGTAGGCTGATCCGGAAGAATGCTCACGTGCATATTGTGCGGGTAGTTCTCAAACAGTAAGTAGCTCGGGCGTGAAAGAGCTGTTTCTGGTATATTGTGACTGTTTTCACTTTCCAGTCTGATCCCAGATCAACACTGCAGTTGCGAAACGGTGGTGTCTTCACGTAAAACTCGTTGTGCATATAAGGATAAAATTATACATGCGAAACTGTAGCCTTTACGTTTGCTAGTACGAGACAAAAAATTGTGAGTGAAATTAAAAGGGACTGCAAAATATGGAATATGTTGAATCGCATAATTCGCCAGATTAGCGTTAAGGATGCTGCTGGGGCTGTGAAGATTCTACTCAAAAGGGACGACATCGCAGCACGCCATGTAAATGAGCAGTTTTGGTAACAGCTTGTCACCCAGTAGAACCAGAAAAGTTCTTTTTGAATCATCGGTTTGGTGAGAAGTGCTACAAGCAACTTCCAGTACACGTGAAGGGACAAGTTGTATTTGTAGTTTCTAATGAACACGAAATTAAACTACAGTTGCGAGAAGGCATTTGCTCATGGAAACCACCTCATAACAAGCACGGAGATACCCCAGAAATTGGAGCGAACAAATTTGCAGCTGAACGCATATTGTTCACAGGGAAAAAACTTCCCGATGTGGAAGACGAATGGATCAAACTAGCGATTAACCGCATGCAGAGGAAACAGCGAGACGAAATTACACAACAGGTTCAAACCCTCTTAAACAACGGACACCGAACACAGACGAATACCTAGAAGAAATCAGAGGCAAAACAGAAGAAAGTACGGAACTCATAAAGGATGTTTTTTATTCACTGTCAATATTCTGGCGGTGGATATGGAGTTTATTGTATCTGCCTTGGTTGTCCTTGTAACCCTAAGCATTTAGTGCAAATGCTGCAAAACAAAACTGCCGTTGCGCAGAAAGATAAGGAAGAACGAAATCGTCGTCACTTTCACGGAACCCGCTGCGTGAAACGACAATGGGAGCACACTTCGGATGTTCCAATCCAAGCGGTGTTGGAGCCGAGCCCGCAGAATCTTGGTCGTCGGAGTATCGCGACAGCGAGATAAGAAACGATCCAGAATTTTCTAATCTCTTCACCTCTATGTTAAAAATTGTTTATAAACATTTTTTGTACTCAGCCTTCTCTGATGTTAAAATATCATTCATTTTTACAGTGTAATTTCTTTGATTTGTGTCGATCAATGCCAGATTTTGTAAATCGGTTCTATGGCGCCGATCGTTGTTGTAGCTTTCTTCGTTTCGCTTCCTCATGTTTAGTGGAATAAATTGGACAACTACTGCGCGCTGGTTGTAAGCATCAATTGGAGAATATTCTCATCTAGTTCTACTCTCAAGGAATAATATAAATTTTTCTTACAAGCGCTCTCTCGGAGACAACTAAACTTTAGAAAAATTTATTGTTATTCACAAGCATTTTCTGAGTTTTGCAGGTCGAGTGACGTTCGAAACTTCTAAAGTTTTGCAGCCAATGCAATTTATTAGCACTCATATTGTTTTGAGAAAAAAAATAAAGTCAGGTGCTTTATAAAAATTGGATTAAAATCTAGTAGCTACTTTTCCTGCATCAATTTCTTTTGCTCAATAATTTACACAGTCGATAAGTTATATTATCACAATTTTCTAACTAAAAAAGAGATATGCAGCTCAAAGCAAAAAATATCGCTACTTTAGAATTTTTGATTAAATGAGCAGACATTAAATTCACTATAATCTGACGAAATATGCTGATAAAATTGACAGATTGATAATTTCATTTTCTAAACTTGTTGTCGCTTTTTACAATTGGTATAAGCAAAACATTAATTTTAACGTTCAGCAAATTTTTCTGCCTAAGACTGATCGTAAAAGTGTAAAGTAGTAAAACATTTAGTACAAAAGTGAAATTGTAAAGAAAAGCGATTGAAAAAATTGTTAACCTGTTGAGAAATTTTAAAATAAAGTTTTCTTTGATACACTGGGGACGCTTATCACATCGATGGTTTTATACTGCCTAAGTTTATGTGCTTTGTCACTGTCGCTTTTAAATGGTGATTTTCAACTGCATTGGAAACCAATGGTCACTTTCTGAAGTATTACATAGAAAAAAATGGAGAGTTGTTCATATCTTTACTGCTTGTAATCTTCTTCTCAATCGTCTAAAATACGACTATAAATTTCTTTTGTAAGACTCTGAAATTTTTTAGTATTAGTCTAACTTTTTCTTTATTTCACTTTTACCATCCTGAAGAATTGCTTAGACAAACCTTGCTTCTAGTACAGGAAAGATGACTAGATAATTTGCTAAGTTAGAGGTTTGAAAGTATTACTTTTATCACAATTGGTAATTCACTTACAAGCCTAAGCTTAAGCAGCAGCTAAACTGCTTTTAAACGTTGGCGTTGGTTTTAGTTTGTAGCTTAATTTTTTTAATTACGTTAACTGTACCTTTACTCTTATTATTAATAACTCGAGAAGAGGTGTGCAAATAATACTTCACTTATTTGTTAAGTCACATTGAAATGTATACGAAATGTTTCTCTTTCTTTGATTGACGTTAATATAAAAATTTTTTTCTTTGCAGATTTTTTTTTATACTCATTATTTCTTCTTCATTTGATTTTTAGACTAGCGGCAAATTTTTTTTTTTTGCATTTTATTTGGATCAGTTTTTAAAAATTCATCAGTTTTGCATTATTTTTTCATTTTTGATTTTTGGACTGGTTTTTCTTAGCAGTATAAATAATAAACATTGAAAAGAAACATGAAAGAACAAAAAAACCTGATCGATTTACTCTGACGCTGTTTTGGCAGCACTGCGAAAAGCGTAGGCCATAGAGAGCATAAATGGTACTCAGTAGTCATTTTCCTTTACGTAGCAATTAACCAAATATTTAGAGTTGAATAATTTCAAGCACTTTTTTATTTTTTTTCCTCACTGATTTATTTAACTGAAAAACGTTGCAGTAATTTAAAAGAAGTTGACCGTACAACCAGAATCACTAAAAAAAAAGCAAAGTTTAGAATTGCAGAAGGCAGAAGTGGCATATTTCAGTGATACTAACTGTACGCTTAGAAAGAATATAAAACGATAAGCCAACACTTATCAAGTAATTTTGGAAACCTTTTGTCACTTCGAAATTTTTAACCTTTCAATTTGTCAAATTTCGTGATGTGTTTGGGAGAAGTGGTTTATCACAAATTAAAAAAAAACTAGGAAATTAGCTCTTTAGCTTTACAATTTTGCTGTTTTTCAAAGTTCAATTTCTTTTTTTTATATTTCATACTTAGAATGCAAAAGCACAACTTTCAATCAACCGATTGTTATTTTTACACAGAGGGAGTGGTGATGCCACAGCCATTTAGCAAACCAATAAAGTATTTGAAGAGTTTCCAGTAAAAAAACAGACGATTTGCAAGGAATGTGAGCAGAAAAGCAAGTCTTTGAAAAGTGAAAATTTTTTTAACAAATCATCACACTTTTATGACCGCATATTAAAAACGGTCTTTTAGTTTAAACTAAAAGTAAAAACAACCACTGCTAACACAAATTCAAATTTGGAGTCTAATCGCAAATTGTTGTCACCTACCTATCTGCGATAAAAGAAGAT